TATTATAAAAAGTTAAGAAGATGTAAGGAGGACATGTAGGGAAGCTAAATGTGAAACTGGCTGTCTCTGTTTCATCCCTAAGCTACAAACACAGGCAGTATGCGGTGCGGATTGGGGTGGGACTTAATCTTCATGGACGTACGGGCCACAATCCCAAAATAGGCGCTCTTACCCGCGTGGTACCACGTACGGGAGTCTTAATCAACTCATATTCAGTCACCGGGTATGCTTAGTTCCCACGTACGAGCCGGTAGAAATTTTTTTCGGGTAAGTTGCTAACTCGGGAACTTGAGAACCTAGAAGATCGAATTTTGTAGAGATGTTTCCTGACAGTCCTGGCGGCCAGTCTGAAATTCTTTTGCTAGAAGCATCTGCCGGAAAAAACACTGCTGTCAGCGAAAAAAATCTGCGAGGAACTATGGAAAAAACGCATCTTCGCACGGGCAGCCCGTGCGTTGGCCAATTATTTTTTATCAGGCAGCAAGCTTGTTATCGAACTGAAATTTGCACTCACCTCTTCGACATTGAAATTCTCTTTGGCAGACGTTTCAAAAAATGGAATTCTCATTGTTTCTGCAAATCTACGAGCATCCGCTTCCAGTACTACTCTTCGTTCTGGATCATCCGCCTTGTTCCCAACTAAACAACGCATTAACGAAATGAAGCAGATCAGTAAAACAGATCAATGAGATCTGTGCGAAGAAAAAAGGGGAATGCAACAGAAAAGAAAACGAAAGATGGAAAAAACTGAACAGCGAAACGCTGAAATAAACGAAAAAAGTGTAAAAACTAAACGAAAAAAATCAATTAAAATCGCAAAAACATATGAAAGAAATGGCATAATGCATCGAGAAAAAGCAAGAACAAGTAACAACATATTACTAAAGCGATAGGTATAAGATATTTGTCTTACCGAGGACTTTCTGGACATTTTCACAGTTTGTATCAATTTCATGTAACCATCGTTTCACGTTGCTGAATGAATCACCACTTGTTACTTCATAAACAACAATTACACCGTGAGTACCACGATAATAGCTGCAAATCAGAAGCCCATTTGCTTCAGAAATTACGATTCGACCTATCAAAGGGCCGCAAATCAATTAATTTAACCTACTTCGGCCATTCTACTTAAACTGTCCACCTACAATTCGGCCTTCTATCGGCCGCTACTTTATCATCCCCTGTGCTTTTGATCTTTTTGGTGTATTAAGCTCAGGATGGAAAAAGTTTCAGGCAGAAAAAATTTGCCTCAAATCATCCTAACTCTTCTGAATTTGTGACTAGAAATTTATTCATTTGACAATCCCTCGTCCGTCCCATGGTAAAATCGATACTGCCATTTCTAGGCCCTTTTAGGATACTCTGTAACCATCAACGGTCTAGACAACTGATATTATCATTTAGGCTATTTGAACTTTTAGCGTTTCCAGATAAAATTTTCCGATTCTTGAGCTAATTTTAAGACATTTAACCGCTATTTGTAGCCTTTAATAAAATTCCGTGCCTCTTCATTGTGCTTCTTACGTTTTCAAAATTTATTTTGGGCACCTTTTGAACCAAGCTGTGTCTATCCTTCGTCCCCTTCGTCCCCGACTTTCCCAGCTACTAACTTCTTAATGCAAAAAAAAAAAAAAAAAATGGTAAAATAAACGTTGTTTTTCGACTTAGATCGTTTTTCCAGCAAAAACATGAAAATTATAACTGAAACAAACCAAGTTAACTGACTACCTTGTTGCTATACAACGCAGCATGCTGCTAAAACCGTGCTTTTAAGTCTATCTCTATGATAATAAACTGGAGTCCGTACGTGGAAACCACGCCCACCTGGAGACTGGGTTTGAACTCATCAAGACCTATTTGGACGGGGGACACCTCCTTAAAATCTCAGCTTTCTAGCTTTCTTGGTTCCCGAGTTAGCAGCTTGTATTTGCCTGTTAAACCTGTGTCTGGTAATTCCTGTGCCTCTCATTTCAATATTCTTTTAGGTAAAAGCTTTCACAAAGTTTCCTACTTCTGTTCACTTATTTCTCCGCATTTTTTGATTATTGTTGTAATATTCGAATTCTTCAGCAAACACTGACAAAGAGATTTGTCAATTCCTAAAAAAGCTATGAATTTGTCGAAAAACATACGTCGAAGTGATGGTACGAAATCGTTCCTGGCCAGCTGTATCCCAAATCTGCAATTTTACACGTTGCCCATTGATTGTCACAGTGCGTATCTTGAAATCCACTCCAATTGTTGTGATATAGTTAGCTGAAAAAAAAAAACACAGAAATGTTCAAAATTTCGCAGTAAATTATATTTACAACTGTTTTTATGCAAAAAAGAGAAAAAAAGCAGTAAAAAAAGAAACCAAAAACAAAAATAATCTCACACAGAAGCGCAAAAAAAAGCAGTTGTATCTATACGAGATGTGAGGTACTGTTTTGCTAAGGGCCATCACGCTGTGCGTGGTAAGCTGGCATCAGTAGATTGCCTGTACTGGTGCGTTTTGACCCTGATCTGAGCGAAAAGCGCCTGTAGAAAACAGTATAAAACAAAACAACTCCCCGCCCATTATGCAAAAGCCGAGATGAACTGGAAGAAGCGGACACCTCTATGGACATAAGTGATTTCAGGAAAACATTAGGGATGCTATCCTAGCGAGGGCAGAATAACTCACTTGCAAAATTTATGCAGAAATCTCAGAATTAAGGGAAGCAGAAATGTTTGGCTAACTCGGAAACTAGCAAAGCTGAGAGGCTGAAATTTTCAGGGGATGTTCCCAGCCCGTATACCACTTAAAGTTATCAAATTCAGCCCCCAGGAATGTTCTCGCGCACAGGCACTGACAGTGAGAAAATGCCCTTTGTATTAAGGGGTAGATAAAACTATTGTTCGTTTTGCTTCTTAAAAATTCTAAAGTTCGCTTTATGCTAGTATGAATTTTGCCGAAATTATTTGTTTCTGATAAAAAAAAGGTCAAATACAGATTGAGGCAAAATTCTATGTCGCTTTTTATTTGACTTTTCTAAATTTACTACTATTCTCAAAAAAAGAAGTAAGTTGGATAGACATTTTTAAAGCTATAAAACTGTGAATAACGTTTCGAACGAAGTAAAAAAATTTCGGTCTAGAATGAGTTAAATTATCAAAACGGTGCATCGGGGAGAAAAGCTGCTTGCAGCGTGATGAGAATGAGAGATAACAGATGGATCCAGTGCCTTGCAGACGCACCTAGGCTATGCTGAATGCACACGATAAAAAAAGCTCAGAACAACAAAATGGCATAGCAGCTAAATTTATCAATGGCAAGAAACAAAAGACTGATAAAATACTTCCTGTTTAAATTAAAGGGTTATTAAATAGGTTCACAAATACAAACTAGAAATTTCATTTTTCTATTGTGATTTTTAATTATTTTTTAGTCTTTTCCATAACTTTCACCACTCGCCCCATCCCATGATTAACGCTTTCAACAAGATGGTATTATATCCCTTTCGCTTTATCAATCTGGGAAGGATATCGCTGATCATATAAATTTTTTTCCTCTAGTGACAGCCCAACTATAGGCAAAATAAATTCCCTTAATAACGAATCAAGTCTGTGGGGTTCACTCAGAAAATCCTAAATCCAAATCTTTACTGAGTTTGGCCCCTTCGAATGATTCTTCTCTTTGTTCAACCAAATTTCGCACCTCTTCGGTTTAAGTCTGCCTTATTCTGATACTCACCAGCCCAACGGTTCAAATGGTTCCGTACAAAAAGAACAAAATTTGAGGGAATCAAAAAGGAGTTCTTGTTTGTTGATGGTGCCTCCTGAAGTTCACTGGAGGAAAAGGGCACCTAGGCAAGGCGAAAGGAGATTTTCTGCAGCTTTATAAAAACG